CGCTAGCTCCGGTCCTTTTTACTGTGGACTCGATGTCCTGACAGGCTGGTATTTGTGCAACCTGCACAAACACAATACTGCACCATGATTACAAATGGTGAAATACAATGTAAAACTACCGAAAAATACCAGCTCCTTAAAACACAACCGCTCTACTCAACGCAACTCTACTATACCCGCGGTCAGAGAGCGGAGATGTGTCCCCTGCGTGATGTAATATGACGCGTTTGACGTATGACCTTAAAAAAAGCCGTTTTTAAGAGCAGAGCTCAAAATTGCTCCTTTCCCTCTGAATTCCTGCCCTTTTGTCTCGTAAAACATATCAAATCCTGCATTCACTTTTTTAATTGTAATTTTCAAGCAAGTTTAAGCATAAATGTAGAAAAAATAAAAACCTGCAAGATGCTCTTTAATATATATATATATATAATATTTTTATCGGGTATCGGTATCGGTCTTGAGAAGCAGGAAGTTATCGGTATCGGTTTCAAAAAAACAATATCTTGCATCCCTAGTAAAGAGTGCCTCGACTAATCAAAGCCAAATGTGTGTTTTTTTGTTCAGCAAGTTCTTAGGTAATGCTTCTCCAACGTGTAAAGAAAACAAAGGTTTAAAGAAGAGAAAAGACCAGAATGTTACCTTACCTACAAAGTGGTAGCTTTCTAATGACCTCAGGTCGTACAGATGTTCTCTGGTACTGGTAACAACCCTCTCGGATCCATTTCTGATTAGATGGGCCAGCAGTAGCATCGACTGAGAAACAGACACAAAAAGTGTTAACGGTTATGAGTATGCTTTTATTCATCACATCAGTTTCCCCCCCTCATGTCAGAGCCTGTTAACAATATGAGACATCCAACTGGTTCTTTTTAAGGCACAGTGTTTGTGTTGTAAACTATTACAAATATGTTATTGTTATCTGTACATACAAGTACAAAACAATTCACATAAATGTTAACAGAAGGCTCATTTTAAAAAGAGTTCAATCGGGTCTGGTCCGAAGTATCTCATTTTGGTGCTTTAAGGCCTTCAAAGCTTTGTGTGATATAGGGCATGTGTCGCAACAGTATTCAGGCAGACCTTGTAGACTCTCCGCCAGTTCTTCTTGTTATCCCTCAGCATGCGGGCCCACAGCATGTTCATCACCTCTGGGAACTGCTCATACATGAACGTGGCTCTAGATAAACAAAGATTCACAGAAGAGGAAAACATTTATAATTGCACCTGCATACAACCAGACAACAGCAGTGTACATTTAGAGAAGGTTATAGTTGTGTTGTCATTTTCTACTTTAATGTCTAAACTAATGTAGTTAACTGACATGACAAGGGGGGAAATTAGTCTGCAAAAACTGAATGGGGACTTTTTCCAGAGAAGTAAAGAACCTCTCCGTGTTTTTTTTGTTTGTTCAAGTTTTAGTGTGCAACCAAAATTGCAAAGATATTGTTAGTATTTAGTTTTACACTGTCTGTAGTCAGCTACATCACTAGCATGTATTCGTCAAGAACAGAACATTTGACTGGTCTCGTCAGCTTTAAAAGGTCCCATGTCATGGCCATTTCTACTGATCATAATTCTATTGTTGAGGTCTACTAGAATAGATTTCTATTGTTCAATTTTTCAAACTCACATTGGTTTCTCATACAGCATCTCTGTATAGTATGTGTATTCACTCTGTCTTAAACGGCTTGTTGGAGCTCCTGCCCCCCCCTCCCTGTGAGCCCAGTGGCCGTCTGTGAGACAGTGGGACACAGCAAAACCCAGCCCGAAACACACACACACGCAGCCTGGCTGGGAGTTTGTGTGTGTGCTCAGGCTGAGTTCCGCGGTGTCTCGCTGTCTCGCCGACCCCTCACCAGTGAGCCAGCTCACACTGTCCCGCTCCTCGCAGCAGCGAGCCTTCGCCACATCCCGCCGAGTGTGTGTGTGTGAGGAAGTCCGCAGATTGGTCCAAACGACCAATCTGCGGACCCGTTACGTTACGTCACTATACCCAAATACGTCACTATACCCAAGAAGTAAACAATGGAAAAAGAGAAATCTCCAACGAGGCGTTCTGGGGCAGCATGGACAGGTATTTTCTGTGTTAGACTTTTACTCGCTCTTGGGTGTACTTTGAGGGTTTGTGACTCTGCAGACTGTTTACATGCATGAAAAGCTACATAACACACAAGGGGACGGGTAATAACCAGAAAAGCATGACATGGGACCTTTAAATTCTCGTCTGCCTTGTGATCTTTAGTCCAGCAGAGGGTGCAACAACTGCCTTCACAGGAGAATAAGGTCAACAGCACAGGGTCACAGTCACAGTAGGCCTACAACAATCTTTTACTGTTGTAGAGATATTGATGAATACAATATAGACCAACAGGGTTCAGAATGTGAATGAACAGTTGTTTGAGAGAGACTTTCTCTTGCATTTACCAGTATGACCATTTGTGTTGGCCGTTTGAGGGAAATTCAAGGGTTAAATTCAGAATAATTTGGTTATATCTAGCCAGAGAATGCTACAGGTGTGTGTTTGTACAAACAACAATAATAAAGCACTCACATAACTGGAATCTCAAGTTTATTTAATCATGCAGAATTTCAGCCTAGTTGCTGAAATTTAGAGGAGACATCATATGGGTGCATTTAACACTAACTTAATGCCTTAAGAATAAAAATAACCCAAGCTATTATATGTTCACTTAGTAATTACTGTAATTAAGACTTGTCACTAAGGTGTGCTTAAAACACAGAGTGAAATTCTCCTCATTGACTTAGTTGGTCTATCTCTTCTCTGCTCTTGATGCATCAGGTGTCTCTTCACTCTTGCAGCCCAGCCAGTATTTCGCAATGGATCGTGGGTAAGGAGGGCTGGCAGAGTCCACACGTTTTGTTTGCAGGTCCACTCTGTAGTATTTATCTGTCATCATAAAAAGAAAAGAAACAACGCAAATCAAGTCCTTTAGTTAATCTTTTTCATTCTTGTAAATGTTTTTACTGGAATTTTAAGCACACCATTTTCTGAAACTGAACTTTCACCTCTAGTATCATACCTCTCTTGAAGAAATAAACATTTTGAACAGGGGTGCTTTTGTCGTCCTGTGTGGTGCTCTCCTCAAAAATATCGCTGACATCGCTGTAGTCAAACAAATCATCTAATCCCCAGAAATCATCAAACAACGCTTGGCGACTCAGCCTTCTTCGCTGTGCACGCTTCTTGCTGGGCCTCCTCCTCCTGCTGCTGCGCCTCCTTGCTGTTGGAGGTGTAGGCACGGGACTGATGTACACTCGTCCCACCATGGCAGCATCTACAGGGGCCCTGATGCCCTGCCAGTCCCTGCTGGTGTAACGAGGGCCTGTGTGAGGACTGCTGACTGTAAGAGGAGGAGAAATTGGAGATTTAGAAACGGTTTGATCCCACAGGCTATGAGACGCTTGATCTCTGCAAAGGGCCTTCATAGCCCATAGCATTCATCTGTTCATCTCACAATTGATTTATTACTACAATAAACCTTTCATTTGACATTCTGTTCATGTTTATTTTATTATATTTATATTCTCCTGCATTTACTTGTTCACATAAATAATACTCTGCTACATTTAGCTTATTGTATTTTCTTATATGGTTGACTTTATCTGCATGATTTGCACATTGGTCTTGCAACACAATCTTGCACTATTTTATTGTTTTATGTCTTATATATATTGAAGTTGCATTGTTGGAGGAGCCAAGACTTAAGATAATCATTGCCATATCCACACTGTAGCTACTGTGCATATGGCAATAAAGCCTTTGAATCTTTGTGAAACCCAAGGGTTTTCCTTACAGGAGCTTCCAAAGAGCTCCATGAATAAATCCTCCAATGTCTGATCGCAGAAGAGGTCGGTGTATCGTGAGAACAGCACAGACGGAGAGGACCTGCTCATCTGGACGCACTCCTCATGGGAAGGCTGGTGCTTGAACTCATACTGGTAATACTTGTCCCCTAATAAAAGAAAACAACACATTTTGACTGGAAAACATGAGCATGAAGAATACAATTGAAAGTGTGCAGAATGGTCTTCAGAATCATCCATTTTGTTATTTATACTATATTAATTCATTTTCATTACTAATACATCATTCACTTTACGATATTGCTATGAGGCTATTTTTTTAACTGCATTCATTCATTGATCATGTATCAACCCATTAACATCTAAACTGGGCAAAATGGGCTTTTAAATACTGAAAAATATCTCACATCCCTTCAGAAATACCTTTGAAAAAGTAGGTTTTCTCTTTGCCAAGGTGACTCGGTGCTGGTATGGCAAACGCAGCATCAACGTTATCTGGTATGGCATCAAATCCGACTGAAATGTCTCGAGGATAGTCGTCATCCAAGACATCACCGTCAAACCTCCAGTACTTGTTCCCCTGAGGGAGCATAAGTAATAAACACAAAGTAGTTAGAATAATAAAAGGGAACAATATGTTTAAAACGTGTTATGGTTGGCCCTCCATGTCCTTTACCTGATAGAAAGTCAAGTAAAATATCTACCTTGAAGATGTAGGATTTTCCCTGGCAGTTGATGCGTGTGAATGCAGCGTCTATGGGTCCTGACATCCCCCACACATCCTCAATGAGTTTTGGGTACCCAGGAAGAACGGATGTATCATCCAACTCGAAGAAATATTCACCTATGAGTGAAAGTATAGACTTTGAATCAGTCCCATTTAAAAAAGTCATAATATGCAGCATTTTACAAAAAAAACAATTTATAAACAACTCTTTATCTCCTTCTCTCAATGAGGCGGGTCCAGCATTGTATTCTGTGTTTTTACAGATACCAACAAAGCTACCCACTATAATTTTAACAAGGATAATCCACAAATTATCAACACTGAATATAAATAAAAAGATCTGCACTGTTTAGTTCATGTCAGGGTACTGACGTCAAGATTTAGGACTGTACAAACTCTTTTGGAGCACCAGATTTACCTCTAAATGCATATATCGACCCATTCTTCAGCTGCAGAAAAGCATCAAAAGGTTCACCGCTGCAGACAGCTGAGTCAGGGTCTACAGGTGGAGTGGGCCCTTGTGTGGTCTGGGGTCCTTGTGTAGTAGGGGGCTGGGGATAGGCAGTGGTGGTTTCTGCGACTGTGTTGAAAGTTGGTGGTAGATCTTTTGGTGTGCTCTCGATCATAGTCGCCGTCACTGTTTCTGTTACTCCATCTGTTTCTCCAAAAGTATCGCCACGAGCAACTGAGGGCAGAACAAACACAAGTTCAGTCACAGGACTTTCAGTAGAAATTACATAAGAGAACTTAATCAAAATATAAAAAGTGTATTGTTTATATTGAACTCACCTTTTTTAGGGCAGATATTGTCAAAGTCTCCACAGCAGCTTCCATAGTACACACACATGGAGTCACACTGACATTTGGTCAGCGGGTTGAAGATGCCACAGCGACCAACACAGGACTCTGCAAAAAAGAAGGTTGTTTGTTTACATTTTAAATTACTTGTGTTGATATAGAGAGGAGGAATGACTCAGATCCTTTATGTAAAAGTACCTTGATGCAATGCAAAATACTGCATTACAAACATATGGCAAATCCATTGTTTCATATTTCACTGATTTATCAATGCATACCGTAAGAAGCCTTTCACTGTTGTAACAGGTTGAGAAGTAACTCGTTTTAATGTCTTTCTTACAGTTTTTCTCGATTGCTAACACACTAAAATGCTACATAAAGCACAATTATTATAACTGACACTCAAAGAGCAAAACATCGGCTCAAACCTCCAAAACTCTAAACACGTTTTCAGCTTTTCACACAATTTGCAAATCAACATGGCACTTTTTGCAAACCACTGCACACGTTTCTCCACGTAAGACACAGGAATCTGACATAAAGTCACGTGTTAGCTCGTTTAAAACACTGATATTCAAAATGCCTCACACATGGACCAATGATCAGGAAACACGTTCCACCTGACCAAACACCTAGTGGCATAATTGTTGGCTCATCAATCAGGATGTTGGCACCATAAAAAGACCACAGGTGAGTACTTTCTTACAGAAACAATGGAAGCCAACATGGAAGCAAGAGGAAGAGGAAGGGCTGGGCTGAGAGTGAGAGGAGGAGGAAGAGGTGGGTGAGATTGAGAGGAGGAAGAATTAGAGGTAGAGGTAGAGCTGGAGGGAGAGGACGTAGACAAAGAAGAATACTCTCTCATGAAATGAAATGTTATCAACCATGGTTTGACGATGAGAGAGGCTGGACAGAGGGTTCAGCCTAATCTAAGCCGATGTACTGTTGCCTCTGTAATCCGGACACTTAGACTTGACAACAGGTTAGTTACCAGTTTTTAGCTCTACGTAATTCATGACATATCAGTNTTAGCTAAGGCCCACGTAAGCAATAAACATGACAGTCATATGCCTATCTCAACATACGATAGCTATGTTCAATGATTAACATGATGATTCAGCCTCTATGGAGATAGGCATATGACTGTCATGTTTATTGCTTACGTGGGCCTTAGCTAATCTGAACTAAGCATAGTATATGGCTTTGAACCGTATACATGTATCTTGTGACTGAATAACACCCTCTCTTGTATTTAAGCATCTGAAGGACACTGTTTGGGGAAATATTTGTCCCATGTGCTCAGTATGTGATGACTACTTCCATTCTTGCAAAGATAATAAATACATGTATCCTGATTATTGAAGCAAAGCAAAGTAATCAGTAAAGTAACTGAGTTACTTTTGAAATGAAGTAACTAGTAATGTAACTAGTTACTGGTTTTCAGTAACTAGCACAACACTGGTGACGACATAGGGTTGGGAACCGAAACTCGGTTCCAGATGAGAACCGATAAGAAAATGCCGGGTACCGGGTACCCGTACAAAATACACAATCTCTGTTCTGCTTAACGGTTCCTAAACGCGGTACACCCTGTGGAATACAGGGTAAAGGCGGACTGGCCATCTGTGTGTTCTGGAGAATCACAGAACGGCCGGTCGTCAGCGGGCTTAATCTTTTTAAACAGCATCATGCAAGTCCCCCCGCCCTCCCGTAGACAGTTCACGAGCTCAGTCACTTCATAACACCAAAGATGGATCGCGGTAAACGCTCTAAAGTGATGCTCCACTACACTAAAAAGAAAGCAAGGCACAGTGTAAGGCCTGTTAATAGCTTGCCACAGGCATAGCTCAGTTAAAATAAAGCACAGCTATTGTGCAATACATTTGTATTGCATGTATATTTTTTATTTGTAAAAATGTCAGTTAAAGCTTAAAAGAATAAAGATATTTTTGTTATCTAAACGTTTGACCTCTTTCTTTTACAATTTTGGAATCGAAACGGGGAATCGATAAGAACCGGAATCGATAAGCAGAACCGGAATCGGAATCGATACATTTCAAACGATACCCATACCTAGTAAGACATGGGCGGAGCCTCTATGGTGGTTGACTAATCAGAACAGCGGCCGAGCTGACCAATCGGAGCACACTGGGCTCACAGGGAGGGGGGGGCAGGAGCTCCAGCAAGCCGTTTAGGACAGAGAGTGAATACACATACTATACAGAGATGCTGTATGAGAAACCAATGTGAGTTTGGAAAATTGCACATTATAAATCTATTTTAGTATACCTCAACAATGGAATTATGATCAGTAGAAATGGCCATGACTTGGGACCTTTAAACATTATATTTGTAGCCTAAATTCTGGCGATTGCATTTATGCTTAAAAAACCATAAATAATGATTTAATAAAGACTATTTTGCTGAACCAAAACTTTAAAGTGTGCACTTCAGGAGCTGTGTAGTCAAACTAGTTAGTTCCACTAGGATGTTTCTGTGAATTGCCAGAAATAACCTTAATTGGTGTTGAATGGCTACTTTCAAGATGATGAATTTTTTTGTTCTACGTGGATATACGCGGTCATTATGGGGAAAAAAACCGACAGGCTGATCAGGAGCCCGACGCGAAGCGGAGGGATCTAGATCGGCATGAAGGTGTTCTTTTCCCCATAATGACCAAGTCGCTGCACATTATCCCGCTTATTACATGGCCACATTCTCAACAAAGTAACGTTATGACTCCCAATATTAATTGAAATGCTTTTATGGATTTAGAAAATTATTTTATTGATTTAAAAAATAGTTGTATGTATTGATTTAAATTGACATGCATCCGCTAAGAAAAATAGTCCGTTGTTACCGTTTGAACTAACGTAGCAACGGCAGGAACTGCTTCGATAGCGTTTTTGAGGAGCTTTTTGATTACAGATTTGAAAACATCGCTCCTTGCTTTAAAAGTAGCACAATTCATTATGTCAAACCTTGGAAAGTATCTGGATATCCCTGCCCTAATGCCAAAGTAACTGGCAACTGAATATGTGTCGCCGTTTGATGTCTATGTCTGGACCGTTGCGTAAAAAGGAGGATTTCTGCCCGTTACTTCTCCGCTGTTTTCTTGTCGCTCTTGTCTTGTCAGTTAGAAAAGCAAACTGCATGCAGTTTGCTTTTCGGCCAAACTGTATACAGTTAAATCGAACGGACTT